ATTTTTTCATTGTTTGGGATCGGTAAACAGGCCGACGGTAGAGCATTTGTCAGGCTCACCTTTCTCACGTTATTATTCATAGTAGTGAGACCCAATTTTTAATCTGGATATAAATGCACGGGTAAATACCGGGGCGATCCAAATTCTGGAAATTATGGTAATAATATTAATATGTTTGGGATCGGCAGATAACATGCATATATAAAATGATAATTTTTCCATCATCGATAAGAGGTTTGCGTCTGTGCTAATTCAGCAAGGGATCAGTATTGTTAGTCGCTCTTGGGAAGCAGAAGATTAACTCGGATGAAATGTATGCGCGAAGAGTACTTTTCTGCGTTCTGGCGATTGCAGCGACCTTCGGCAATGGTGAGTTTTGATTACGGAGTCGAGATATTATGATTTCTGGATGTTACATGACATGCACGTTCGCTGATCCTCTGCAACCCGTCAAGTACTGCTCGATAAAATCTTACATATACCTAGGATCAAAAGCTTCTATAAAAATGCTTATGTAAATACTGAGAGTGTAACATGAAATAACTCCAAAAAACAGACGTCAAGTAAATGGACTAGTTGTGAAACATTATGCCACCTCTATCTCTTTACTGCGTTTTATTTATAAAAGCAGATTTTTGCTTTGCCTTAGTGACAGTTCAAGCATGAAATAATAATTAGACAGAACAATTATAATATTAGAAAAATACCGTCTAAGATTGACGCTATAGTTCTTATGGAAAAAAAGGGGATGAGTTTCATAAGGCGAAATCGAATCGTGATTAGGTAGGTTCACTTAGGTACTTCTTCGACATCTGCATATCAAAACACGAGGCCCTTCCCACTTCAGTTGGCCCAACTATTGAAATTTTAGTTTTTTTCTCATCAAACACAAATAATAAAAATGTAGCAGGGTGTTATAGGTTTAAAATATTAACAATGAATATTTTGATAAAATATAGTAGAAAACTTTATTACTCCCTAATCAAATTTGCAGCATAAAAATAACACATGTCGCAATTACAGCATATCAACCTATTTTCATTTCAATTCAAAATAAGTCTATAACGCATAGGTGGCTGTGAAAAATAAAAGCCATGACAATTGTTTTTATTAATCACAGCTGTCAGAATACGTTTAAAATATACTAAGTGACATATAAATCCGAACACCCAGTTTAAATGGTTTTATTTTAATAAAAGTTGGTGAATGTATTTATCTTACTGTAAATAACAAGTGAAAAAATGTTCAGCCTTATCAGTTGGACATTCCGGTTTTTATACTGCTTTTTTTTAATTCACTAACGCTCTAAAAATGAATATTTCAGCCGCAGTAAAGAATCAACGTTGGCGGATTTTGGTTCTTGACATCCTTTACGATCGGTTACGATGCCTAGAGTACGGAGACCTGTACGATTTCGTCAACTTAGTGAGTTTGACAGGGGCCGTATAGTGGGACTTCGGGAAGCTGGACTTTCTTTTCGGGCAATTGCAGTTAGAGTGCAAAGAAGTGTAGACACTGTGGTTAGGTGTTGTCAGGCATGGCTTCGAGAAGGCCGTACGCAAAGAGCAAGGGGCACTGGACGCCGCCGTAGAACAACAGACCGTGAAGATCGCCGCCTAAGATTATTGGCCTTAAGGGACCGTTTCTCCACTACCAGGTCCATTGCAAATGAATGGATTGCAGAACACGGAAGACCTATTGGCATGCGAAGTGTTTACCGACGAATGAGAAGTTTTGGTTTGTTTTCATACCGGCCACACTGGGTCCTCCCTTTAACTCGAGAACACCGACGTAATCGCCTTGAGTGGTGCAGACAACGGTCACTCTGGGATCAGGAATGGAACAGTATTGTCTTTAGTGACGAGTCTTGATTTTGTTTAGGTGTGCACGAAGGTCGTGTCAGGGTTAGAAGGCGACGTGGTGAAAGGAGGAATCCACAGTTTTTTGTTGAAAGACATGTTCATCACACTGTTGGAGTTATGGTTTGGGGTGCTATAGCTTATGGTTCCAGGTCACCTTTAATCTTCATCAGAGGTAACATGAACGCGCAGCGTTATATCCACGAAGTTCTAGAACCCCATCTTTTACCCTATCTTGTCACCCTGGCAGATCCAACTTTCCAACAAGATAATGCCCGACCACATGTTGCAAGAGTCACAATAGACTTCTTTCAACATAATGATGTCACATTGTTACCATGGCCACCAAGATCTCCCGATTTATCCCCAATTGATCACGTGTGGGATATGATGGGTAGGAGATTGCTCAATTTGCAACGTCCTCCCCAGACTCTAGAAGCACTTCGAGAGGAGTTGGTGGTTGCCTGGAATGAGATACCACAGGAGGACATTGACCACCTGATCAGAAGCATGCCTAGGCGCGTTGGAGAATGCGTAGCACATCAGGGTGCATCCACACATTATTAAAGGTCAAAGGGCTTTAAAGCAGTGCAATCATTTTGAAATTTTTATCATTTACTTATTATGCTTCATTAAGTACTTATACAAAATTTTATTAAAATAAAACCATTTAAACTGGGTGTTCGGATTTATATGTCACTTAGTATAGTTTTGGGTATTTAAGGGCTTCAAAATGGGTAGAGGAAAGGTTATTAGTGAGAAAATTCGGTTACTGAAAATTAATTTTTTAATTCTGGGAAATCGAACTCAGAAATTGCAACTTTGTTAGACTTATCGCGGTACAGTATGAGAAATATTGTTAGAAGATATAACGTAACTGGTTCAGTTAATATTAAGCCACGATATGTGAAAAAAGTAATATCACAAATGCCGACCGAAGAGCATTAAGAAGAATAACCGTGAAAAACAGGCGTGCCAATTATTTACAATTAAGTGCTATGTGGAGTGACGCTGTTGGAAGGAGAATTTCGAGGTCCGCAACTCATAGAAAGGCCCACAAACTGGGTTTTAGCACGTGCAAGGTAAGTTTTCTTATAAAAAAAGAGTGAAGTAAAAACCCTAAAGATGCACAACTTGTTTATAGGCCAAAGAAAAGCCACTATTAACTCCACTGCAAAAGAAAAATCGGCTTAGATGGGCTAAAGAACATACACAATGGACACCTCAACAATGGTGTGCAATACAATGGAGTGATGAGGCCCGATTCGAAGTTTGTATTGGTGACAGTCGCAGTAGAGTTATTCGCAAAAAAAATGAAGCATTCCATGTTGACTGTCTGGAGAGAAAAGTGAAATTTCCAGCATCCGTTATGGTCTGGGGCAGTATGTCATCAAAAGGGGTAGGAAAACTTCATTTTATTGATGGAAATGTGGATACAAACAAATATTTGGCAATTTTAGAGGAATCGCTTTTACCAGTGATGGAAGAATGTTAGACATCCGGCCAAGATTTTGTGTTTCAGCAAGATGGTGCAGCGTGCCATACCTCAAAAAGGCTATAAAATGGATGGAAGAAAATAATGTACCACTTTTGAGATGGGTTTCTAGCAGTCTGTCACCTATTGAAACTTTGTGGCACGAGATGAAAAAAGTTCTACGACAACATCCTGCTCGTACAATCACCGAACTGAGACAAAAACCTCAAGAAATATGGGATTGTTTTACACCAAATTTTTGCCAAAACTTGGTTAACACTATGCTCCAAAGAATTTCAGCCGTAATAAAAAATAAAGGTGATGTTACCTAATGGTAATCTTTCAATTGTTGCTTTGTTAACTTCGCTCATTTATTCGTACATTGTTTATTTGTTCAGATGTTCTATTAGTTATAGGTCTAAGCGAGTTCAAATATGTATTTTTCACGACTAGAGTGTATCTAAAACGTTTTTGAGAAAATAAATTGTTTTAGCAGTAAATAGTTTCATCATGTTTAGTTTATAAAGGCATATTTTGGTACAAATCTTGAAGTGGGCCAACTGAAGTGGGAAGGGGCTCGTATATTTAGATCAGAAAATTCATTATTGATGCAACAATTAGACCTGCGTTGCTAAGGAAACTTCTAAAGAAATCAAATAGCTGTCAATTTAATTTTGTGATTTGATTTAAAGATTGTGAACTTAGTGCTTGTTTAGAAGTTATTTTTGATACTATAAAGTAAAAAATGTCTGATTCCAAGTTTTCTTTGACTCCACCGGAATGAGTAGCCAAAGTAGCGTTGCCAGCTAAATCGTTTATACCATATCCGGGAAAAAAAGTACTCCCCGGGGAAAAAAATAATTCCATAAAAAGTAACATTTTGTTACCTGCTAACAGAGATGAAATGTCAAACTTTTTTCCTGTCACAGAAAAAAAAATTCGCTTGTATAATAGATAATTATTATTAGAGTGAGAGTAAAAGTAAACGATTCATTGTTAATTTATTATTATTTCATAGTAATTTAATTTTGAAGAATACAACGTATTAAGTTTTCCGGGAACCTTCAGGAATCCATTTCACGTTTGTAAAATGTTCTAGGACTATGATTTGGAAAAGAAGAGTTGTTTAAATAATTCGCCTCTGGGATAAATAATTACCTTTTTACATAAACTATTAAACCGATCTAGCTGAAATGTAGCACACATATTAACAACAATAATGTGCACATTCTCCAAAACACATTTCTAGTCATTTACAATTGTTATTGTAATAGTTATAAACTTTCATTCAATATTGCTAAAAAGCCCCATATTTAGCTTAATTGTTCATCGATTTTAATTCTTTAAAAGTAAAGTTGAAGGTCTTTTTATGCTCTAAGATCTCTAGTTTGCAGATTACTTATAGAATTTAATTTGAAAATTGTACAAGCAAAATACTGAATTTGTAGCTTTTCACATTGTTTATAAAAAGAAAACGCACATCTGGCTGTATCTTCTTATGTATCTGTCATTAAAAAAGACTTTCTACTAAAACTTTCAGATATCTGCTAAACTTTTTTACACGAAATACCTATTTTTTTGTGTGTAGCCTGGGCTGTAGTAATGTCTGGCAGCCCTGCGATCTCACTCTATCGGACGATATGCGATGTAAAACCATATATGGTGGGGGAGTTCGCAACTGGAATCACTACTCCAACGATAATAAGACATGGTGCTTATCAGCAATTATAAATTCGCTCGTCCTTCTTATCAAGTGTAATTTATAAAGCTTTCTCGCTCTACCTACACATTTGTTGTTGCGTGTGGTCGTCGAACAAGCTCCGGTAAAAATCGATAAAAAAATGATAAAAATGTCGGTATTGGCGGTTTTATCAGTTGTGCTTAGTTTCACAACGATCACTCAGGGTAAGTTAAACAAGCTAAATAGTGACCCAAACTAGTATGGTAACCAAATAAGTTCGTGCAGTTTTTAGTAGAAAAATATAAATTTTTATTGAGAAACAATAAGACACTATTTATTCGTCAAAGTAATTACCATCACATTCTACGACCTTTTGCCAACGATGAACCAATTTTTGTATGCCGGTATTGTAGAACTCCCTGCATTATTACACCATCTCGAGTTGTGAACTGTCGGTGCCTCATACAGTTGTCAAGAGACAAAAAAAGGTGATAATCACTGGGCGAAATGTCGGTCACGTTTCTCAGCCGAGTTCAGAAATTTTTTCTCGGGTCACTTGGCGTTATCCTGCAAGACTATCACTTTCTTCCGATAGATCAAAGAAGGCTGTTTCTGGATGAGTGCTGCTTGTACTCGTTGAAGCTGCTCACAATACAAGTTAGTAGTGATGGTTTGATCCCTTTCCAAAAACTCATAATGGACCATTCCAGTTGCTGTTCACCAAACACACTCCAAAACCTTGTTTGGGTGCAAGGAAGCCTTGGGCGTGAGTGGTACCGAATCAGCAGGCGACAACCGATGATACGAACGCTTAGAATTCGAATACAAGAGCCATTTTTCGTCGCAGGTTAATAGCCGGTTAAGATATGGTTAATTAGCGTTGCGTGAAATGTTTGCTGAACAAATGGTAAGACGACTTAATTTGTCAGTTCATGTGGGACCCATTTGCTTGACTACCACGTCTTTCCTAGCTGATGAAGATGCAAACGAATAGTTTCATGACTCATTCTGAACATGTCTACAAGTTCTTGGCACGTTGTCCTAGAATTTGCGTCCACAACCTGTCGAAGATCCTCGTTGTTCATGATTTTAGTCTCCCTGAACGCGGTTCATCGAAGAAAATTTTTTGAACCACTTCAGTGCTGTTCGATCACTAACGGCATCATCTCCGAATGCGGCACATATTTTGCTGCAGCATTTGTAACAAGTTTGTACTCATACAGTAAACAACTTCGAATTACTGTTTTATTCGTCGAAATTTTCAATTATTAAAACTAGGTATGTAACAACTTTCAGCAACTTTTTTTGTGTGTGAGAAAAGAAGGATTCATACTAAAGTGACAACAGGTAACAAACAATAGCTATCGATCAACAACATCCATGGCAATGTGCGATATACAGCAACCGCACGAACTTATTTGGTTACCTGACATTTTAGCAGAAAAGGAAACCGAAATTTCGGTCCAATTTTAGTTTCGTCCAAAGTTGAAACTGAAACTTCCAGCTGAGTATGATATGGGAGGTAAGATCGTAGTGTATCTCCAAGAAAAAAATAAACTCAGTTATAAATTAATATTAGTAATATTAAACTGGTGGACAGTTCTTTTGCAACATGGAAAATTTTACCCAAATTCAAATCTCGAAAGAAATATCGAGTTGCAGTTTCGGGAGGTTCTTGACCAACTCTTTGAGAACACGTACAGGTTTCGACTCGTATACGAGCCCCTTCCCACTTCAGTTGGCCCACTTCAAGATTTGTACCAAAATATGCCTTTATAAACTAAACATGACGAAACTATTTACTTCTAAAACAATTTATTTTCTCAAAAACATTTTATATTTGAAATCACGTAGACCTAAACTAATAGAACATCTGAACAAATAAACAATGTGCGAATAAATGCGCGAAGTTAACAAAGCAACAATTGAAAGATTACCATTGGGTAACATCAGCTTTATTTTTTATTACGGCTGAAATTCTTTGGGGCATAGTGTTAACCAAGTTTTGGCAAAAATTTGGTGTAAAACAATCCCATATTTCTTGAAGCTTTTGTCTGAGTTCGGTGATTGCACGAGCAGGATGTTGTCGTAGAACCATTTTCATCTCGTGCCACAAAGTTTCAATAGGTGACAGATCTGGACTGCTAGAAACCCATTTCAAAAGTGGTACATTATTTTCTTCCATCCATTTTATAGCCTTTTTTGAGGTATGGCACGCTGCACCATCTTGCTGAAACACAAAATCTTGGCCGGATGTCAAACATTCTTTCATCAATGGTAAAAGCGATTCTTCAATTGCCAAATATTTGGTTGTATCCACATTTCCATCAAAAAAATGAAGTTTTCCTACTCCTTTTGATAACATACTGTCCCAGACCATAATGGATGCTGGAAATTTCACTTTTCTCTTCAGACAGTCAACATGGAATGCTTCATTTTTTTTGCGAATAACTCTACTGCGACTGTCACCAACACAAACTTCGAATCGGGCCTCATCACTCCATTGTATTGCACACCATTGTTGAGGTATCCATTGTCTATGTTCTTTAGTCCATCTAAGCCGATTTTTCTTTTGCAGTGGAGTTAATAGTGGCTTTTATTTGGCCTATAAACAAGTTGTGCAACTTTAGGGTTTTTACTTCACTTTTTTTATAACAAAACTTACCTTGAAAGTGCTAAATCCCAGTTTGTGGGCCTCTCTATGAGTTGTAGACTTCGAAATTCTCCTTCCAACAGCGTCGCTCCACAAAGCACTCAATTGTAAATAATTGGCACGCCTGTTTTTCACGATTATTCTTCTTAATGCTCTTCGGTCGGCATTTGTGATATTACTTTTTTTCACATATCGTGGCTTAATACTAACTGAACCAGTTACGTTATGTCTTCTAACAATATTTCTCACACTGTACCGCGATAAGTCTAACAAAGTTGCAATTTCTGAATTTGATTTTCCAGTATTAAAAAATATCGGTAACCGAATTTTCTCACTAACAACCTTTCCTCTACCCATTTTGAAAACCTTAACTACTTAAAACTATTTTAAACGTATTCTGACAACTGTTATTGATAAAAACAATTGTCATGGCTTTCATTTTTCACAGTCACCTATGCGTTATAGACTTATTTTGCATTGAAATGAAAATAGGTTAATATGCTGTAATTGCAACATGTGTCATTTTTATGCTGCGGAAAGACCATCTTCACGGGAGACCCTAAAAGACCGTAGCGCCCTTAGGGGACGTTTGTCGACCTATGTTTATATAAACTTTTCTTCCTATTTTAAGCTCTAGAAACCGCTGGTATATTGCACACTTTTTTCGCGACACCCTGTATACTATGCAATTCTCTTGTTCTGTCGCATTTTAACTTCTGTGATGTCTATGACAAATGTCTAACTAAATTCACCTTTGATAAAATACAACGCGTGCAAAATTCTTGTCTGAGACTTATTTTTGGTTTAAGAAAATACGATTCTGTTTCGTCAAAGCTTACTGATGCTGGCTGGCTGAACATAAAGCAACGCAGGCTGCTTCATAGCCTCGTCATAAGATTATTATACATAAACTACCATCCTACTTACACGAAAGAATGCATTTCCGTTACTTAGCTCACAATCGCAATACCCGCAACAAAACAAAACTGACACCGCCTTTTCATTCTACCACCTTATTCGAAAGATCTTTTTCGTATAATGTCAGTAAACTTTATAATAATATCCCGCGACGGTATACTTCTCTTTCTATTGATTTGTTTAAAAAACGTATACGCTATTACATTTCAGGTAATTGCATGGTATGACTTTGGAGTCATTATGTATTTTTATAGTACCATTTATCAAATTAGCCGCTAGGGTCCATTCTCTGATACTGCTTATACATACATATATTTTTTTACCTCATTTATACAGGGTGACAGGTAAATAGGTGTAAAACATTTTAGGAGGTGATAGTACAGCTCCTTTGCTATCAAAATTAGTATATAATACCATACCCTATATTCAAAGGTTAAAAAGTTATGGAAGATTTATTTTTTTTTAAAAACAACCCAGATTACAGAGTAAAATAGTTGAGAGAAAAAAAAGTTGGTGATTAAACATTCTTTTTTTGGTGGTTTCAGGTTATTATTTAATAAATAATTCTCATAAATTAAAAAACATATGAAAACACTACTGAAAACGTAATTATTTTCATTTAAATATTGAATGAAAATTTTTATTTTCAACTTTTACATTAAGAAGTCTTTTTTTAAAAAAAATCATAATAAAGAAAATGTACAAATAACTGCAAAAACTTCCTCGTTTCATTAGGTTTCTAAAATGGTATAATAACATATCAGTAAGTAAACCATTTAACAAAACAATATTACTTTGCTAGAAAGGACCGCTAAGCACATTTCATTGTACTGAGCAGGTAAACCGAGCCTTTCATGGTTCGACCCTTCTTGTTATTTTTTGTGACCTGTGCCGTTATTCGGGTTTAAGTATTCGGAATCTGTCGTCGCTCCTCGGAAGCAAGCTCTGCGTGTGTTATGAATTGACACAGCTGACGGATCAAGGAAAGGGAACTAATGCTTAGGTTAGTTAGTAGAATATCAACCTTTAACGCGGTAGGACGTACTTTTACTTTTTTTATCAGTTTTAATAATGGCGAGTTACCGTAACGAAGAATACGCTGATATTCTGTTTTGTTATGGTTTAAGTGATGGAAATTCCGTTGAAGCCAGGCGAGAATACGAAAACCGTTTTCCGAATCGGCGAATACCGAGTCATCGAGTATTTGGTTCTGTGTACCAACGCGTCAAGGAAAGTGGACAGGTTCATGAGAGACGTCATGATGCTGGTAGACCTCGGTTGTTTGACGACGAAGATGGAGAGGCAATACTGGAATGCTACGGCAGAGACCCGACGACGTCTACACGAGTTATAGCAAAGCAGCTTGGTTTAACTCACTGGAAAGTTTGGTTCATTTGCATTCGGCGAGACTTTACCCTTTCCATTACACACCGGTTCAAGTATTAGAAGAAGGAGATCCCGCAAGAAGAATTGATTTTTGTCGATACATGCTTCATCGGGATCAAGAAGAAAACGACTATTTAACTAAAATATTGTGGACAGACGAGTCTAAGTTTGACAGAGAGGGGACAACAAATTATCACAACTTATATTATTGGGCCCCACGAGAGGCAAATCCCCACATGGCAAAGCCAAGAGCCCATCAAAGAAGATTTTCGGCAAACGTGTGGATGGGAATCATTCATACGTATCTAATTGGACCAGTTTTTTGGCCTGTCGACCTGAATGGCGAATCCTATGAAAACTTTTTGAGATCCGAACTCTGGGAGTATCTCGAAGCCCTGCCTCTGAATATCAGGATGCAGATGATCTACCAACACGATGGCTGTCCCGCGCATTTCCGTCAGGGTGTTAGACAGTGGCTGGACGAGAAATATCCTTGTCGCTGGATTGGCCGAGGTGGACCGACACCGTGGCCAGCGAGGAGCCCAGATTTAACACCGTGTGACTATTATTTATGGGGGCACATGAAGTCACTGGTGTACGCTGAGCCCATAGACACTCTTGCACAGTTGAAAGAAAGAATTATTGCTGCTGCTGACACTATCAGAGGACAACTAACTGACCGCATCACGTAAACCAATATGAGAAAAAGACTACGGGCTTGCATAAGAAACGGCGGGCGTCAGTTCGAACAACAAAATTGCAATGAATTTTACCTTCATTTCATTATTGTATTTTTTACTTACCAATTGTAGTAACTTTTAGTCAGTTTTTATTATTCTGTAGTATAATTACTACTGTGTAAATAATCTAATCGTGCAACTTAACCGTAGTTTAAAATAATAACTATCCCATAGCTTACAGTTACATTATTTTCACAAAAACACTTTCTTATCAATCAGAGAATTATGAAAATAGGAGACAAGCCATTGGTAAATTTACTCCCTATTGTTGTATTACAATAAATACATTATGTTTAGTTTCACACAGTTTTTGTGCACTTATCATACCAATTTAGATTCCTTATGAAACAAGGATATTATTTGAATTGTTTGTACGTTTTTTTGTATACTGATTTTTTTGTAAAACACCTTACTTACTGTAAAACGTTATTTGTTTTTCTTAGTTAAACATTTTTGAATGAAAATAAATACGTTGTTTGGTATTGTTTTCGAATCTTTTTTAATTTATAATAGTTAATTATTGAAATAATAACCCAAAACCACAAAAAACAAATGTTTAATCGCCAACTTTTTTCTCTCTCGACTTTTTTACTCTGAAATATGGATTGTTTTTAAAAAAATCTTAAATTTTCAATAACTTTTCAACCTTTGAATATAGGGTATGGTATTATATACTAATTTCGATAGCAAAGGGGCTGTACTATCACCTCCTGAAATGTTTTACACCTATTACACCCTGTATATAAGCTTATCTTATTATGATGTAAACCTAAAACCAGGGGTTAAGGGAAGAGCGGATATGCCGAACTCCGCCCCTCCCACTATATGTTCATATAAAACTGGTTTTGCAACTTGTTTTATATTTTCTTTTGTGGGAAAAAAGACATTATTATTATTATTATTATTGATTAAATAAACTTTCAAAATGTAAAGAACTATCACATTTATGAATAATTATCAAGACCGCAATGTAATCGATCAAATGTCATTATTTTAAAAACACCTACAAGTTTAAAATAATTTTGTTATACCACAATAAATGCATGAGAACGATGCATCGGATAGGAAAAAGTCAAGAGATTAAATGTAGTACAAAATAAATAAATATTCAACATCCAAAAATGCCTATTGGTGGTTACTAGGTGCATGTCAAATTTCATGAAAATATCTGGAACAGTATTAAAGTTATGATAAGAAAACGATTTTATTTTTCTTAAAATTTTAACACCCTTTAGCACAATAGTTAAGAGGCGTAGGATATTATGTTCATATAAACTGTTCTTCCTAAAACGAGCTAAGGAATTATTACCTGTATTTTTAGTCATCAATTAAATTACACCCTGTATAGGCTGATGGATAATACATATTTGGAACCAGAATTAAAAACTCTTTTCACCTGTGCAAAAATCCAATATGGGATCCTTGAGAAAAAATAAAGTTGATGCTGGAGAACAATCGAATAAACGTCATATTGAAAATCTTAGTATGTCACCTTGTATAGGAGAGAAATTGGCAATGTCAATTTATTTTGAAATCCCACTACAGATAAGGTTAGCAAAAAAATTAGTTGCTTAGGGTCCAGTATCTCCGTGGGGAAGCGGAATTTTCAAAATCACCATAGAAAAAAATGATCTTTAGTTGGAATAGTCCACAGAATAGCCTCTATAGTTACTATATGTATTATTATTTAAACTAGCAATATTTGTTCTAGGTATGGGTCTAGGTATGGCTGATCGATGCTTAACATGTCAAGATGAAAACTGTGAGATGGCCGTTTTAGCAAAGTGTGACATTAGTTCAGTATCATCGGTACCAGAGTTAGGCATATCTACAGAAAAAGCCAGAGCGTTTGGTTGTTTGGACTTAGAATACAAGGAAAGTAAGTACAAACATGTAAGTACAATAGTCCAGCCACAATGAAAATATTTCAACATAATTACGTGTGTGTTGCTTAGTGATAGGCCATAATCACAAGGGTGTATTCATGAATCAAAATTAAGTAGAAAAAATCATACAAATATGTGTCCTAAAGGGCCTGGTTCTTGAGATACGTTTTATAAAATTTTTTGTTATTTGTTAACTCAAATATGCTTGTGCCGATTTTGTTGAATTTTGACAGTGTTGCTTATCGCAATAAGATGCTAACTTAGCGCTAGCTAGACAGTAATTATAAATTGCAGAAATTGCAGTGGCTTCTCGGGGGGCAGCGTCACGAATAATATTGGCAAAAAATTTACGAAATTGACTCTAGATAAATTTTTTTTTCAGCTTTTCAGGCTCAACGTCAAATTCAACGTCATTATTGAACCCATTGTTCAAAGTTAGTTCAAACCGTATCTTGATCATTTTCAAAAATAACTTACTTGGAAGAATCTAGACCCGTTTCGTTACTTATTATACCCGGTATACAGGGAAAACCAAATTTGTCTGACCTCTCGAGTCCAATGTGTACTAGAGAGAAAGTGTATATCATCACATGCTAGAAAAAGATAGAAGGCAGATGAAGAGAGAAGGTAATCACCACATTGCATAGCAACGTTGACGCAGAAGCTCGTGCAATCTTGCAAATATGTTACACCAGAAAATGTTCGCACAGACTACGTTACTGTCAAACCCAAGAAGAATTATTTATATACTAAGTGACATATAAATCCGAACACCCAGTTTAAATGGTTTTATTTTAATAAAAGCTGGTGAATGTATTTATCTTACTGTAAATAACAAGTGAAAAAATTTTCAGCCTTATCAGTTGGACATTCCGGTTTTTATACTGCTTTTTTTTTAATTCACTAACGCTCTAAAAATGAATATTTCAGCCGCAGTAAAGAATCAACGTTGGCGGATTTTGGTTCTTGACATCCTTTACGATTGGTTACGATGCCTAGAGTACGGAGACCTGTACGATTTCGTCAACTTAGTGAGTTTGATAGGCGCCGTATAGTGGGACTTCGGGAAGCTGAACTTTCTTTTCGGGCAATTGCAGTTAGAGTGCAAAGAAGTGTAGACACTGTGGTTAGGTGTTGTCAGGCATGGCTTCGAGAAGGCCGTACGCAAAGAGCAAGGGGCACTGGACGCCGCCGTAGAACAACAGACCGTGAAGATCGCCGCCTAAGATTATTTGCCTTAAGGGAACGTTTCTCCACTACCAGGTCCATTGCAAATGAATGGTTTGCAGAACACGGAAGACCTATTGGCATGCGAATTGTTTACCGACGAATGAGAAGTTTTGGCTTGTTTTCATACCGGCCACACTGGGTCCTCCCTTTAACTCGAGAACACCGACGTAATCGTCTTGAGTGGTGCAGACAACGGTCACTCTGGGACCAGGAATGGAACAGTATTGTCTTTAGTGACGAGTCTCGATTTTGTTTAGGCATGCACGATGGTCGTGCCAGGGTTAGAAGGCGACGTGGTGAAAGGAGGAATCCACAGTTTTTTGTTGAAAGACATGTTCATCACACTGTTGGAGTTATGGTTTGGGGTGCTTTAGCTTATGGTTCCAGGTAACCTTTAATCTTCATCAGAGGTAACATGAACGCGCAGCGTTATATCCACGAAGTTCTAGAACCCCATCTTTTACCCTATCTTGACACCCTGGCAAATCCAACTTTCCAACAAGATAATGCCCGACCACATGTTGCAAGAGTCACAATAGACTTCTTTCAACATAATGATGTCACATTGTTACCATGGCCACCAAGATCTCCCGACTTATCCCCAATTGAGCACGTGTGGGATATGATGGGTAGGAGATTGCTCAATTTGCATCGTCCTCCTCAGACTCTAGAAGCACTTCGAGAGGAGTTGGTGGTTGCCTGGAATGAGATACCACAGGAGGACATTGACTACCTGATCAGAAGCATGCCTAGGCGCGTTGGAGAATGCGTAGCACATCAGAGTGCATCCACACAGTATTAAAGGTCAAAGGGCTTTAAAGCAGTGCAATCATTTTGAAATTTTTATCATTTACTTATTATGCTTCATTAAGTACTTATACAAAATTTAATTAAAATAAAACCATTTAAACTGGGTGTTCGGATTTATATGTCACTTAGTATATCAATTTTGATGCGACTCAATGTCGTAACGTCAGATGTTCCTACAATAGTTGTGGGACGCCTTTATGGCATCCTTGATTTTCCTAGTTTTCGACTGTTCCGTGTCAGCGCTCTGCTTTGAGATTATGCTACAAATACCATCAAATTGTTCAAGCTATTATATCAGCCTGAAATTTCCTAGGATTCAAAAGGAAAGCATAGCCTCACAATAGGAGAACGCTGACGCTGACACAGAATAGTAGAAGTCTAGAAATACCTCAGCCTTTCTTAAGGAGAGAAAAGTCTGTGAAAATCAAGGAGGCAATGAAGGAACGGCTGACGACACGCCCCTTGGTAGTTTAACCTATTTTAGAATTATCTTTAATTTCCATCGATGGTGGTAAAATCAACACATTCTAAGTTATTGATTACGCAATACAAATTATCACTGTCTGCGTATACGCAGGTGAAAACCGTTTCTAAGCAAGACGACACTTCCCAATGAGAGCTAGATGGGTACTGAACAGAATCGCGCATCTATGATCATGGCGGTGGAAACCTTGACTTGGAATGTACGAGATGCGGTGTTGCCAAGCGGACCAATGATGCAAAGTTGCAGAATTTGTAGCAATCCTGACTTTTAGAATAAAATAAAACGCCGTTAGGACCGATCCGGAATCGATCCTTAATTCAAGGAGCTGGTGTAACATTTTAGCAATGCGGCAGATTGGCGCGTCAGCGTTGCTAAGCGACGCGGTGATGAACTTTGCTATTCTATATCTTTCTAATATATGTGTGTATATACACTTCTCTCTCACACACATTGAACTCAAGCCATCGGGCAAATTTTGTTTTCAGGGTATAGAAAATCTTTACGAGATGTTCATAACGGTAAAGTTGCATTGTTGGAGTACAATAGGAAGTATAAATAGCAAGTTTGGGTCGATGCTGTCCGTCTAGAGTCTAGATCCTGGAATCGACGTATGGCTCGATCTCTCATCTCTCTGTTCACCTAATCATACAAATCAAACTCCTGAGCAGTGTCGCCATTAACATTTTTCCTGACGTTCAAGCTTTTTAATACACCTAGTATCTGAATGTACATATTTTTGCAGATTCGGACACGAAAAAGCTGAAACGATGCATCGGATTATCTGACGAAGATATCTGTAAGACTGCTCAACGCAAGCTTAAGGTAAACAAATGTGAAGTCTCTAAACCAACGCAGACTGGAAGATTCAGCTACTATTTACAAGAAGAGAATCTAGATGCCATCATGAAAAGCTCAGAAACTACGCCTACGAGTACAAAAGGAACTAAACCTTCAAAACATGACACTAGTACAGAAACAACTATTCCTTCCACAACAAAAGGAAGTAAAGGTACAACTTTAAAACCTGTCCCTAGTACAAAAGCAACTGTTCCTTCCACAACAAAAGCAAGTAAAAGTACAACTTCAGAACCTGTCACTAGTCCACAAACAAGTCAAAAAACCTCTCCTGAAGCCACCACAGAAAAAAGTACAACTTCAAAACCTGCCACTACTACAAAAGAAAGTGAAACAACAACTTCAAACTCTGAAACCACCACAGAAACAAGAGAAACGACAACTTCGAAGACTAATTCTGCTAGTTCTATAATTACAAGCAAATTGTCAGGATTAACAATAGTAACTATTGTTCTATGTTATTTGATGTAAATTAAAATATTTTTTCTGACCTGTTTTTATACAATTTCCTTTGGTTCTATTTGCCGCTCAAAGTAACTCTCTGGAACAGGCGCGGATCCAGGATCACGTCTTGTGGGGAGGGGGCAAGTAGTGTGGGTTGCCTACGTTCAGGGGGTATTGTCAATACGTTTGCTGTTACTATAATGTAATTAAGAAGGGAAATGATAAACAGCAGTTTAAGAACAGATTGTACATTTATGTTAAGTCAAGTCTTCAAACAAAAAACTTCTTTCCCCTATCCTCATTTTTTCCTGCAAGTTTGAGGCTTGGGGGGGGGTTGATCCGCCCTTGCTCTGAAATAACTGAAACTAGCCGAAATGTTAGTGAAAGTGTGATTCTATAAAAAGAAACATTTTTCGCTTTTCACAATTATTTGAACGTTGAGTTTTCCAAATTTAAAAAACCTAAAAAATTGTAAATCTTCGGAAATATCGAAAATCTAGAATGTTTTAGAAATTCTGAAGATTTAAAAAATATGAGAATTTTTAAGATTTTGTAACCAAAAAATTTTGAGGTCAATGGACGATTTTTATATACTAAGTGACATATAAATCCGAACACCCAGTTTAAATGCTTTTATTTTAATAAAAGTTGGTGAATGTATTTATCTTACTGTAAATAACAAGTGAAAAAATTTTCAGCCTTATCAGTTGGACATTCCGGTTTTTATACTGCTTTTTTTTAAATCACTAACGCTCTAAAAATGAATATTTCAGCCGCAGTAAAGAATCAACGTTGGCGGATTTTGGTTCTTGACATCCTTTACGATCGGTTGCGATGCCTAGAGTACGGAGACCTGTACGATTTCGTCAACTTAGCGAGTTTGATAGGGGCCGTATAGTGGGACTTCGGGAAGCTGGACTTTCTTTTCGGGCAATTGCAGTTAGAGTGCAAAGAAGTGTAGACACTTTGGTTAGGTGTTGTCAGGCATGGCTTCGAGAAGGCCGTACGCAAAGAGCAAGGGGCACTGAACGCCGCCGTAGAACAACCGACCGTGAAGATCGCTGCCTAAGATTATTGGCCTTAAGGGACCGTTTCTCCACTACCAGATCCATTGCAAATGAATGATTTGCAGAACACGGAAGACCTATTGGCATGCGAAGTGTTTACCGACGAATGAAAAGTTTTGGCTTGTTTTCATACCGGCCACACTGGGTCCTCCCTTTAACACGAGAACACTGACGTAATCGCCTTGAGTGGTGCAGACAACGGTCACTCTGGGATCAGGAATGGAACAGTATTGTCGTTAGTCACGAGTCTCGATTTTGTTTAGGCATGCACGATGGTCGTGCCAGGGTTAGAAGGCGACGTGGTGAAAGGAGGAATCCACAGTTTTCTGTTGAAAGACATGTTCATCACACTGTTGGAGTTATGGTTTGGGGTGCTATACCTTATGGTTCCAGGTCACCTTTAATCTTCATCAGAGGTAACATGAACGCGCAGCGTTATATCCACGAAGTTCTAGAACCCCATCTTTTACCCTATCTTGACACCCTGGCAGATCCAACTTTCCAACAAGATAATGCCCGACCACATATTGCAAGTGTCACAATAGACTTCTTTCAACATAGTGATGTCACATTGTTACCATGGCCACCAAGATCTCCCGACTTATCCCCAATTGAGCACGTGTGGGATATGATGGGTAGGAGATTGCTCAAATTGCAACGTCCTCCTCAGACTCTAGAAGCACTTCGAGAGGAGTTGGTGGTTGCCTGGAGTGAGATACCACAGGAGTACATTGACCACCTGATCAGAAGCATGCCTAGGCGCGTTGGAGAATGCGTAGCACATCAGGGTGCATCCACACATTATTAAAGGTCAAAGGGCTTTAAAGCAGTACAATCATTTTGAAATTTTTATCATTTACTTATTATGCTTCATTAAGTACTTATACAAAATTATATTAAAATAAAACCATTTAAACTGGGTGTTCGGATTTATATGTCACTTAGTATATTTTCCATGCACGTTACTGTTCTCATGTCCTTTATTAAATATTTCTGCTGTTCTATTAGCGCACTGATTATTTCCGAAAAATATTTCAATAATCTCAACTCTTTCTGCTGTGGAATATACCATGGTCAATTTATGTAATAAAGCGTTACAAGTTATTTTAGCAACAAAGTTTCGTCAAATCAATCGCAAACTATGTACTAAATTAGTATTTAAAATAAGAACGAGATATTTCCTTATCTTTCTTCAAGGAATAACTTTTTGCCATAAAGAAAACGCTCCAATAGCTATTTTCAACAACAAAACGATAAACAAACCAATGGGGGAGTGAACAAAAGCATTAACTTATTAAGTAAATTCCTTTAGTCAAATTTCTTCTGAAAGTAGTACAAACTAATCTGGTGTACCTATTGAAGTCTACTTCAAGCTTTCAATCAATAAATCTTCAAAACTACTAAACTGAACCTCATGTATTTTACCTCATTATAAAGGGAATTGGAAGACCTTCAAAATGAGGTATCACTCGACCCCCCTTTTCATTTAAGATTTTAGGGTTGGTGTCACCCCCGCCCAGGGGGCTGCACGTGTTAACGTGATTTTTTGCCAAACTTGTGTCCCCCTCGAAAACAAAATCGATGGGTGTGAGCGTTAATAAAAAAAAAACTGAGCTGCCAGTAAATGCGTCTGTTTCGTCTTCGATGCGCCACCCTGTATAAATTATAGCAGTTTTTCAGTTGAAACCTAAAAGGTTTGAAAACAACTAATTCAGGTATATTTATACAAAATAGTTCTTAAGATTTTGATAATTTTGGAACTTGATTTAATTATGAAATGATGAATACTTGAAGATTTTGCTAATTTTGAAAATTCCATAAATTTTGGAAATTTAGAAAGTCTTAAAAATATTCGAAATTTTATAAATTTTAAATCTTTGATAGTTTTGAAATTTTTGATAGTTCTGGTTTTGGATATTCTGGTGCATGTTCTAAGGATTTTTAAAAAATTCGAATTTCTGAAAATTTTAGAAATTACTAATACATATTTTTGAAATATGGATTTTGGAAACCTTGAATATTTCCAGATTTTTCCAAAAAAAAAACATGTGGTGACACTCAGCCTTCAAGTTTTAGCAAACATTTATTAGATTTCATTTCTTCTTACTTGCATGATAGAAATCAGTGCGTTTCTTACAATGGTTTCAAATCTTCACCTTACTCAGCCTCATCCGGTGTACCGCAGGGATCAAATTTAGGCCCTCGGCTCTTTCTTTATTTTATCAATGACCTCCCTAACTGCTTAACCCGTCCTTCTCTGTTGTTTGCCGATGAGTTAAAAATATATGCTCAGATTAACAGCATTGATGACTGTCTAATCTTGTAAGCTGACCTGAATCATATATTTGAATAGTGTTCGACTAATAAATTATTTTTGAATGTTAGCAAATGCCAAACCTGTTCTTTTACCAGGAAAACGAATCCAATAGTTTTTGATTACACACTGGTAGGTGTCAGTTTGATGCGTTGTTCAGAAGTAAGAGATCTAGGTGTGGTGTTTGATGTTAAATTAGGATTTACAGGTCATATTAGTACAATAAGTATAAGAAACTGTAAATCGTTTTGTAGTGAAACGGCACTGAAGGCTTTATACTGCACCTTGGTGCGTTCTTAGCTGGAATATGCTTCTAGTGTATGGCATCTATATTACCAAATCTATACTAATGAAATTGAAAGTGTACAGAGGATATTTCTTAAATACTTGACTTTCAAATTAGATGGTGTTTATCCCAATCGTGGGACTCCCCAATCAGCGGTGTTGCTCAGATTTGAAATACATCCTCTTGACCTGAGAAGAGTTTGTAATAGTTTAAAATTCCTTTACAAGCTCGTACACAGTGATGTTGATTCTTCTTCAGCTTTATTAGCTAAAATTGATTTTCATGTACCGTCCCGCACTTCTCGAAAATTTCTCGCTTTTTACTTAAAAACACCAAATTCTAATGTTATGATTAAGCCACCTGTGTACTTTATGTGCCCCAGCTTTAACACCATTGCTGATAAGTGTGACATTCATCATGATAAAGTCAAAGATATATTAGCTGTATTCAGCGACTACTATTATTCAATTCATAGCATTTAAGACAGGTAGGTGAGTAGGTTCATTTCTTTTTCATTCCTTTTTCAGAAACTGGGCGAGCTATGATTGTAGTTAAAAATACTGTATCGTCAAATTGTACCAATTACATTGTCTTTTAAATGGATGTTTTTGTTGGGCAATAAATATATTATTATTATTATTATTATTGTTATTATCTTTTTCTTCCACAGACGTATCTGTCTGGTAATAAAGGATAGACCAGATATCAACCAGATATCAAAGAGACTCTAAAAGGACCTTCCTTTTTTTTGGTAGAGTGCTGGTTTACCGGGTATTGAGTCACAATTTCCGTGGAAGGTTTTGGTGATAGTTCCTAATGCACCGACAACGACAGAAGTTATCCAAGCTTTCACATGCCACATCCTCTGTATTTCTATCTGGAGATCTCTGTACTTAGATATCTCATTTTCTTTCGATTTTACATCGAAATCGTCGGGAACCGCTATATCAATTAGTTGACATGTTTTCTTCTTCCTGTTATGAATTATAATGTCAGGTCGGTTTGCTTTTATTGTCCGATCCGTTATTACCGGCACATCCCACATAATACACACATCAGTGGTGTCACTCTTGATGTTGGTGACACTCTGGATTTCATGCTGATAATATTTATCTGTAACTGGAATACCAAACGAGTCACATATTTTCCAGTGAACGTAACTAGCTACATTGTTATGTCTAGCGGTATACTCTGAAGGGGCTAGTACTTGGCAACTTGCTACTATATGGCTGATGAGTTCGTCGGACTGCCCGCATATTCTGCATTTACTGTCTATACTTTGTTTTAGTATACGTATATACTTTTGGTGGTACCTTGTATTTAATGCTTGATCTTGTGCAGATACTATCAGAGCTTCTGTTTCCGCGTAGAGCTTCTCAACCAACTGACACTTCCACGTTTATCTACCTCTGTTCTCTCGAGTTGTCGGAAGAACTGTCCG